CGTCATTGTTGTTTGGCGGGTCCGGGAATGCCTGGATATTTCTTTAGGAGACAGGGTCTCCTTCTTGCTCAGGCTGGTCTGGAACTCTTGAGCTCAAGCAATCCACCTGCCTGGGCCTCCCAGAGTGCTAAGATTACAAGCTTGAGTCATCACCCCTTGCCTGTTTTAACCATTTTAAAGTGTAGGATTCATCAGCACCATGGACATTTGCATTGTTGCACAACCATCCCCTCCCTCCAGCTCCAGAACTTTCATGGAAACCATGAAACTGTCACTTCCATTGTCCCCACCCCCAGCTCTTCCTACCCTGTGAACCACTGATCTATAGGGTGTCCCAGAGGTCCCCCATAAAGTCGCTAAGTGTAGGGGAAAATGGGAAATTGTAGGTAAAGGTGCCTTTATGTATGAAATATTCATTACAAAATGTTACAAGTCTCGGTGCCTATAGCACAGTGGTCATGGCACCAGCCACATATACCGAAGTTGGCGGGTTAAAACCCAGCCTGGCTTGCTAAAACAACAATGACAACTGCAACAAAAAATAGCTGGGCATTGTGTTGGGCTCCTATTGTCCCAGCTACTTGGGAGGCTGAGGCAAGAGAATCGCTTGAGCCCAGTAGTTTGAGGTACTGTGAGCTGTGATGCCGCGGCACTCTACCGACGTCAGTGGGGACTCTGTTTCAAAAACAAACAAATAAACAAACAAACAATGGCGACCTCTCTGTTAAATTTTGTAATGAATATTTTGTTAATAAAGATATGTTTAGCTACAATTTCCCTTTTTCCCTACGTATGGTGACTTTATGGGCGACCTTTGGGACACTCTGTACTTCTCTATTAATTAGCCTCTTCTGGTCATCTCATGTGAAGGGATCCTACAATATTGTCTGGCTTTTGACATGTAGTAGGATGTTTGCAAGTTCACTCACACCGTAGCAGGCATCGGTGCTATGTTCCTTCCTGTGGCTGAACACTATTCCATTATATGGCCAGACCCCATAGTGTCCGTGGAAGATTTCATTTGCTTGTTATTATCCAATACTCAAGCCTTGGGGAAACTGAAGCTGGACAGTACTGACCCTCAAGTTTCCTGGGACCCCTTCCCCTCAACTCAGCACTACCCAGAGCCTCTCAGGGCCCATGAGGGAGAATGAGAGTGGGCTGGGAAGACCCTGTCTGGGTGATGAAGGAGGTAGGGAAGTGACAAGTCCAGATTGTGTGACAACACTGCTCCCCCACACAGTGCAGGTTCCACGATCCCCTTAGACCTCACATACAAACCCAATTCAAAACCAACATTGGTGAGAAATTCAAGATGCCAAACTCAGCACCTTAAACCCAAAGGGTGAGGCCTTCTGAGTGCTGAGACCTCTGCTGTGGCCCCACTTCTTCCTGTGGAGCTGAGAGCCCGAGGTGAGGGCCTCAGAGGTGGCCCCAAGACAGGCAGAGCAGCTCAGTGTCCTTAGGGAGCCTGCAAGGGTCCCTGGGTTTGGGGTCACTTGAGGGCGAGGCCCCTGGGAACACTTTGTCTCCAGTCTTCATGGAGTAGATGTTTGCTGGAGGATGAATCAATGAATAAATGAATGAATGGGCACTGGCCTCTGTCACCTCTTGTGAGCCGTGACTCCCTTCTGTGCCCCAAAAGTCCCTGCTCAGCCTTGGATGCCAAGGCTGACTCAGAGCGGCCACCCTGGTTTGGGGCATGTCCCCATAGCCCCTGCCCTGCTGCTTCCCCCTCAGAAGGGAGAAGTCAGGAGAGGGGTCCTTGCAGAACATGGGCGCTCCCTGAGGTTCCTCTTCTGTGAGCGGGCACTGTCCCTCCCCCAGGCCTGCTGTAAGAGCTTCCTCCCCAGATGGGGCTGCCCAGGAGCCAGACAGTCCCAGGGCAGTCACAGCCACTGGGAATTGAGGATGCTGCTTCTGTTCCTGCTGCTGTCCATGCTGGGGGCAGGTGAGTGGGTCAGGGGCGGGGGCTCCTAGGATGGGGCTGGGGCAGCAGCTGAGCCTCTGTGTCCCCACAGGGTCCCTGAAGGAGGATCCTGATTACCACATTCAAGTTCAGAAGTCGGTGAGCGTGCAGGAGGGCGTGTGTGTCTTTATCCCCTGCACCTTCTCCTACCCCCAGAATGGCTGGACGGAGTCTACCCCAGCTTATGGCTACTGGTTTGAAGAAAGGTCCCACTCTACCACTGGTGCTCCAGTGGCCACAAACAACCTAAATCGAAAGGTGCAAGGGAGGGTGCATGGCCGATTTGAGTTCCGTGGGAGGCCCCAGAACAAGGACTGCTCCCTGGTGATCAGAGAGGCCAAGAAGTTGGACACAGGATATTACTACTTTCGGGTGGAGAGAGGGAGCCACGTAAATCATAATTTCAGGAGAGCATTCTTTCTAGTAGTGACAGGTATGTGGGACCCTGGGGGACAGGAGCAGGGCTGAGCATGGAGGGCTCTCAGGCACTCCCCTGGAGCCCTGGGATGCCCTCGTCTCAGCCCAGCCCTGACTCGGGGATCAGATGTCTAGAGGTCCTGGAGACCCTGGTGCCTGGGTGGCCGGTGATGGTCATCTGTGTGTTTCACTGGGCCTTCGAGGAATGTCCAGCCCCTTGTTTCTCCTGGATAGGGCCTGCCATCTCCTCCCAAGGAACCAGGCCCCAACCTTCCCATGTCTCCATGCTCAACCTCATGCTAAGACTCCAGGACCATGACACCGACCTCACCTGCCAAGTGTCCTTCTCCACAGGGGGGCTGAGCACACAGACCATTGGACTCAGTGTGGCCTGTGAGTGTG